TCGAAAAAATGTGTAGAGCCATCCTTTCCATCGCCGCTGCTATTTCTGCCCTACATTTTTCCAGCAGGTTGCCATGTACAGAGGCATCATCCTTTCCATCGTTGTTTCTATTTTTGTCGCTGCTGTTTCCCAACAGGCTACCATGTCAGGGATACCAGGTATCTTATATTGTCTAATCTTTTTCTCCATTCATAACAATTGTTTCTTGAATAGTCTTGTTTGACCATATATCTTCTTTTTGGTGAGATTGTGTTTACAAGCTACCAATAATTCATTTTGGTGTGCGAGAGAAAGATGAATACCTCACCTGAGACCCTTTGCGGCATGTTTCCTCAACTGCTCAACTAATTTGTAGACTGCTGTCAGCATGAAATTTGATGAAGAACCAAATTATTCAACGTTGATTCCTTTGTTTGGTACTTTAGTTTGACCAAACTCTTCCATCGGTCCATTCTATACTCATGGAGCCCAAAAGGTTCATTTCAGACATCACATACTTTATTGGCGAATTCAAGCCAAATCAACCTTTACAATATACATACACCTAGCTTATGTAGTCTTGTTTGTGAACGCATTAACCCTGCAGGTAGGGTAGAAGCATGCCAAGTTGACCATGTAAAAAAGAAGATTCAGCACATTGTCGTATCGCAAATTGCTAGGGACCAAAAAGGTTTGTTCTTGCTACGCATATATGGATTGCATTCTTTTACCTGTAGCTGTAGTATGTTTGTGAGTATCCTATATTTTTTAGCTTATGTTGTACCACATGAATGGGCCTCTAGAGTAGACCTCATTAGCAAAAAAAAAAAAAATTACACGATCTTCAGAGGCCTAGCCATCTCATTAGTTGCCTGATCTTGACAGCAGAAATGGTGTCTGCTCATACAACCTTGATATACAAATGTCATCTAAGTTACATGTCAATTGTTTGGTCCTTTTTCTTTCGGAATAAATTTACTCCTACGTAACTCTCTACGGTGGCTTCAGACACGGTTTGGCCTATGTAGTATAAAATAGTCTTGAAGCTTTTCTTTTCGGTTTTGATAAGAAACTTGAAGGTATTCTTAGGTATATACATATCTACAACATTATCTATTTGGCATCTTCCAAATTTGAAATACTTCAATGCTTCTTTATGATTAAGACCAATCAGGGTTAGCACTATAATAATAGTGTTACATGTACGGACCGCTTCTACCCACCATTTCATGTTTTTAAACATTTTAGTTTATTGTAGTTGCCCATGCACGCATCGTGTATTCTTAGGTATATACATATCTTGCATATAGGAACTGAATTAAAATTTCTTCTATGTATGTTTCTAAACTTTCTTTTGGTACCTGCAACAGCCTATTTAGTCACATAATATTTTAGATTTAACCTATATGTACGGCCTCAGTTAAGCTATTTTGATGCTTTAGGAATGGAAATGCCATTTTTGTTCCAACAATAGGACATCTAGGTTCTCAAGTTAATTAGCCTTTGTGGTTATTTTGTAGTACATAATTTTTACACCATTCATTGCTCTTTTTATAGTGATGCCACTTCACACTTCATGGAAAGAGTTAGCAGATACAATTCATCCTCAGACAGATAGCTCAAGCGCCCGCTTCTTAGGCCCTTAGGTGCCTACAGGCTATATACGGTTTTGCCATACTAGATTATATAGCTTTCAGGGATTTGTTTTGTATAGATAGCTTGCACAACACATTTTTTCGCTTGCTGGCAGATCAAATCAATAGAGCAGATATGAAAAGCTAGTTTTACCAGCAAAATTAAGACATCCATGAAACCAAAGCAAATAGTTGCGCCTTTACACAGATCGATTCAATATACTAAAACTGGAAATTTAAATTTTACAGTGAAACCTATACATCGTTATGTGCAATGATATTGAGTTACCCCTGTCCTTTTCCCACTACTTTATTCTCGGCCGCATGACCCTTTTGTTTTTTCCCATGTCAGTACAAAGAACATGGTATTCGTTCCTTTAATCATGGCCTTTCAATGCATCTTATTGGTCCATAAAGTCTCTGGATCTATTTCAAAAATACAAGACAAAGAAAGCGATGAAGAGAACACAAACAAAACTAACGAAATGGATAAAAAAGGCGGCTCCTTCAGCGTCAAAGAACTGGGCAAGGAGGTAATTTCCTGCAGCCTTAAAATACATGGCTCCATGCTATAATGCGTGGGAGAATATAGCACAGACCATTGGTCTTGCTAACAGACCTCAACATGTATTACATAAAGCACACTAACAGGAACACAAAAGCCAGGTTTGCTTTCCTATAAGAGATGCATGTATGATTTATAGGGCACAACGGAAGACCACATGCGGAAAGAAAAGGGCAACAGCAGCGCAGGTTCATGTCACAAACAGCGGAGGTGGCTACTGCACGCTCATACTACCTATCTATTCAGCAGTTGTGATTCTATTTTCTCCGACCTTATAATACATTGCCCAACCACTGATGTATTTATTTCTATCTATCTCCCTCCACTTTCTTGGAAATCCACTGTGAAAGAGCTTGTGCTGAACCACTGATTCTAGGAAGGCAAGCGATAGAGTTTATGGTTGATTCTAGGAAGCAAGAGTTTTTTCTGACTACAAAAGTGCTTGTGCCCACCTGCTGAACTTTATGTTTAGATTTAGCCTCAATGGTTATAGGCCACATTATTTTCCATTCTGATAACTTAAAATTCAACTTTGTTGATTGCTATTTCCTTTGGTCACTCGCATGCTTCGTACAATTTCTTTGGCTGGTTGTTGAAAAACCTCTAATTTTAGATAAAAAAAATTTATTGTTGTGTCACTAACTTTTATATTTTGGGGCTAAAGCAGAATCGGGTTTCAACTTTTACAAACAAGATGGTGGTGGAGGGTTTCCCAGCAGCAGAGTAAAAATCTAGAAATGAAATGTGTGTTATTCTCTCATCACTCCATTAATTGCGTTTAGATTCTAGTTCTAAAATTAATTCGGACCTACTTATCTAAAGGTTTTACATCATTTTAGGTAAAGCCTGTTTGAAAAGTTGCTTATAAGCAGCATATGACGACTGGTGTTTTTATGCAGAGCTTTTTGTGTTGCACGCTGACCTTATTAGCTCATTATTTATCGACCAGATTAGTTTAGTTCAACGTTCACAATAAAATCTAATTTTTTATACTTGATTCCTCTCGTACCGTGAAGAAAGTCGTTCTGTCTGATGGTATGGTCATAATAGTGAAGGGTGGCACACCTGTGAGCCTTCGGTTGCCGCTTGAAATACCGGGTTATTGCCTAATTCCGTTGATTACTGTCAGTTTCTGTGGCAACATGCTGCATTACTATGACAAGCTGCTGCATTGCCAATGAACCATATGTTGCTGCTTTTTTGCTCCAAAAATATAGATGAAGGAACTTCATATTGGGCAGTTTGTCTTGTTACGGGTTTTTGTTTTGTTAGCGATTCCCCTTCTCTGTCCAAGTAGAACAATACTACTTATCTATTTTCACCTATAGATGGAAAATAGCAATTATAATTAGTTGTATTGTTATTTTTCTTAATTCTAAAGGTTGTCCCTAATTCTATATCTTGTCATAGGCATAGAGGGATGAACTCTCAAATTTAGTTCAGGATCTACTGAATCCAACCTCGATATCACGCCGTGTCCGCGTATGTTACATGTCTCACTTTACCAAAGGTCGTTGCTCTATCCAAAACTACAAATTCTCGTGTCTTCTGTGTAGGTATATCTTTGTCCTTTCCATACTACAATAGGAATTAATTGTAAGCTTCTTTCCTCATCTTTCAGTAATTTGCACCTTCTTGGTATCTATTGTTTTTCTTTATATGCTAGCTAATCTAACATAGAGTGGAACAACTATGACAGCCAACATTTATGATAAATTATGGATGAGCTTACAAATGTACATCCAAAACCACCGATGAAAATAAGTATTCATTTGTTTGGAGCAATGTTGCCTTGCCAATTAAATCGCAGTTAGCAGTGCAACATTTTTACATGCTATGCCAGCAATGAAATGTTCCTGCAATGTTTCTCTGATGACTTCATGTTGTCTGCAAGTTGGCTTCCATTAGGATGGTCACAATGCTGGATTTCTGAATGTTCAATTGGAACTATATATGCCGTGCTTTGTCCTTATCACTCTACGTTATTCTGCATTTGGTTTCCGCACACTGTGTTTCACTGTTTAACAAGGTGAAATTGTGTGGCCTTGTGGTAACTATATCTGCCATAGCGTGCTCTTTGCTGTTTGCCAGTCTGTACTTTTGATGTCTCTATCTTATGCCCTGATGTGCTTATTATTAGCTTAGACCAGCCTGGTGTTCACATATTATCCCTTAGCTTGCTCATAACCTTTCTTGTCTTGTGCTTAGACTAGCCTGTATTTTTGTACCCAACTTATTGTTTCTATATATACTTCTTTTCTAGATTCTTATTTAGCAGTTTTTGATCTCCTTTTTCAAGGTGGCATACCTACGGTTTCTTATATGTCATACCTGTGATACATGATTTCTATTGGCTTAAATATTGACCTCGTTTATGTCACAGATTGCTCCGATGCATCAAACTTGAAATTGACGAGAAACAACCTCTGATACGAACTAAAGTACTGAAAAGGCAACGCGATCCCATATTTATATATATCGAGCCATGCATTAACATCAACTATGTTAGACTCATCAAGTATATTTGGCTTGAACAAATTCTATATGCCTGTATAATATCCCTCCACCTTCGTGATCTCCCGAATGAATTAGATATGTATCTTTTATAATATCGCTATTTTCTTTTCCTTACGAATTTATTCATATTAACCATCAAATTGAATCGCAAATTATCCGACACGTGTAAAGGCACGTGTAATGTACGATGTATTACAATACAAAGTGTTTATCATGTGTATGCTGAGATCTTAAAAAAAATCGATTGTGTTTTCGACTTACCACCGGCGCGCGCGAGTGCGCGCGTGATGGACAGTTCTCGTGAATCACGCTTCCTTCCCACACGGCTGTTTCTTCTCCGTGTCCGCCAACCCACTCGCGCTCCCGGCCTCCGTTGCGCTCCCCCTTCGCGGCATCGCGCCCGTCGCCGCAGACCCCATCTCCCACCACCCCGCACCTGCGTCCGCCCTCCTCTTCTCGCCCCCGCGCGCCGCCGCGGCCTCGCGACCCCCGGCCGACGACGTTCCCGACGGGAATTCCTGGCACCTCCTTGCCGTCCCTGTCCCCATGGACCCCGCCGCCGCCGAAGACGCCCCTGTTGCCGAGCGTGTGAACCCTGGCCTCTGCTCCCCCTCCCGCTGCCCGCCACATACTGGTTCGGGTTCGCCGTCGCGGTAGGGGAAGAGGAAAGGAAGATGGCGGCTGCGGCGGCCGCGAGCATGGGGGTGGTGTGGGAGGTCATGTGCCCCGACGTCGTCAAGGAGGTGGACCTGCCCATCCTCTACTACATCTCCAATCACCAACGTCCTCGCCAACGAGGACTTCAACTTCGGGGCCCGTAAGGGCACGGCATCTTTGAAGCGCTCGGGGAGCTCCTCATCGACTCTGGAGGCGTCTCTGACCAGGAAACTGCCTTCAGGTACCCCTACCGCGTTGCCCTTCATCGTACCACTACCACCGCCCGCCCTGTTCTCCGATCTGACTAATCCCATTCACACTAGAGGAGAGGCAAAGAGAGGTAATCTATTTTGCAGACGACTTCTCTTAGATCGACACATGATGCAATTGTTGGTAGCATACATATGTTGTTCAACATCTTCCCCACTATGCTCTTCTTCTATGTACTGTCCTGCTTGTTGCTATAGGTTCAATATCAAATGCATGTCGCGGCCCTCATTCAAATTGTTGTTTCTTTGGCCAGCTTCCAATGGGAGGAATCAGAAAAAGAGAGGGACGAAGTACTGTATGTTTTGGTGGCAAGATGAAGAGTATCTGTGTAACTCATTTGCTAGTGAATCTTTAGTATTTTTTATTTCCTTTTGTTTCCATTTTGCAGGAGCAGACCTACCTAAAAGTTCTGCTGTTATAGCCTTGGTACTGCGTTTGGACATTTAGGCTCACATCACCTTTGTATTTATTCTAGGGCACTCTGTTTATAACATAATTGTACTATGTCTCTATCACTGTGTATGAATTTTGATACTTCCATATTTTTGCAAGAACCATCATTGAGTTGCTATTATAAAAAGAAAAACATATGCTCTGTTTATTTTCAGATGCATGCTTAACACGATGTAGCTTCATTGAAATGGATCTTCATTCTGCCCTTACCGGCGGGGTGCGGGCACAAGCGACTAAACACGCCGATAGATGGATCTGTGGTATGTACACCAGTGTTAGTTAAGTTGTTTTATCTTTTCTTCAATTATCATGCTAGTTGTTTATTGTGTTCCGCCTCTACTGAAGATTTCTCTACTACGTGAGGGTTTGGGTATTATGACCAACAACGCTGCTAAATATTGTGCATAGATCCTGGGGCTAAATTATGCTTCCAAGAAGGAATTCAAGTATATTCGCTATCAAGGTGATTCTAAGCTTGTCTGTAACCAGGTGAGTTCTTATTTCTTTTCTATTTCTCGGCTTTTGTATTTGAATTAAACCTTCAATAGATAATGAGTGCTGCAGTTCATTCTAACTCTTCAAATTCCACTAAAACACTAAGTGTGTGGAGGGCTGGCAATTTTAAATGGTTTTTCATGACTGTCATATTCTACAGTTTTTCTTCACCAAAGGAATATTTTTAATCCAATCACTTAAAATGCATGGCCCCAAGTAGATGTCACAATGATAGAGTCAGGTCTCGTTTGTAATTTTGTATTAACGAACCTTCATTTCTACAGCATATGGCTGTCTTGTGCGATATAGCCAAGGAACTAAAGGAAATGTTTGTTACATTTCAAATCAACCATGTTTTGAGGGTAGGTCTTTCATTTTCCATTGTCATTTGTCCTTGTTCACATTTATCTTCCATCTACTAGATTTGTGGTGTAACATGTGTTCTCTGCAACTATTACTCTGTAGCTTAGGTACCATAACGTGAGGTTGAAAACATCTAGGTTGACAGCTCTAAAGATTTGTAAGACTTTTGAGCTGCGACAAAACATTTTACATACCGATATATTCCCTGAAACGAGTAGACTTGCATCTCTTTTTTTCTGAAATGACCTCAGAATATATTAGTACTATTTAATTGTTATTGAGCATTAATGAAGTGTAACTGTTCTGAGTCATTCTTTTCAAAATGGTGTACTTCATTAGTCAAACTTGATTCTAAATGAGCAATACGTTATAGTGACTACATTTACATACATAAATTTAATTGCACAAGGGAGGTGGAGAAGAACGAGAAGATCACAAGCTCTGGAGTGGTTTGATGTGAGAGACGGAGATATTACCTTATAACCGATAAATGTTCTGTATAGCAACTTGGTAGTTGATTCTAAATCAAGGTATTGTCCTATTGTTTTACAGTAATCTCAGTTGTATAGATGAATGTAGTTGTCAATTTGGCAGCTGTAACTGAATAATGGAATTTTCCACTTCAACAAAAGCTAGGATGTTATTGCCAGCTATGAATGAGTTTTTTTAATCCACGTGCATGTTCACTAATATATATAAAAGTATTAAATATAAATAAATATCTTTAGAGTAATTATAAAATAAATTTTGTAATAAAACTCTTCAAAAATACAAATTCTAATAATATTTTCTATAAATCTAGTTAAACTTGCATCAATGACTCCTTGAAAACCAACATTTACACTTTTTTAGCATGGTGGGGGCAGAATCAAACTTAGCCTTTACTCCGAAATAATGGTACACGGTTGAAGGTCTTTATCCATATTACCTCGGATGAGGTACTCCTTCCGTCCATAAAAGAAATGCAATTCTTATTTTTCGACAAGTCAAGCCATTTGAACTTTGACTGAATTTATATAAAAGGGTACTAACATTCATGATACAAAATGAGTACCGTTAGAATAGATATGGAATATATTTTTATAATAAATTTATTTGGAAACATAAATATTAATACTATTTACTATAAACTTGGTCAAAGTTATACTAATTTGACCGGCACGCTTCCTATAATTGCATTCTTTTACGGATGGAGGGAGTAATTGGGAATGAAAATGTTTATATAAATTTAGTTAGGAAAGTAGGAAATAATTAGATCTAACTTCTATAATTCTATGATATAGCAAACATGCTCGTGTATTGTTATGGGGGAGAAAAGCTATCTAGCGTTCATGAAAATGAGGACGAGGATGGTATATATCTATGTTTTACCTTATCTATAAAATTTAAAAGCTATAATTTATTTTATAATGATATGATATTCATAATATAAGTAAATACTGACAATAATATGGCAATGGCCAATTAAGCCTGTATTAATTTTTTTAAAAAAATTGTATCGAATTAAAATACAACCTTTATAGATCTTTTTCTCCTGTTGTAAAGCATAGAAATATTTACTCATAAATGTATCATAAATTTATTTTTCACATTATCCATGTGTTGGAACAGCTAAGGCCCGTTTGGCAGGACTTCACTTTACTAGTGAAGCCACTTTTTTTGCTTCAGCTCCACGAACAGTTTCACCGGTGGAGCTGAAGCGGTTTTGGTAAACCGTTTGGCAAAATGGCTTTCCTGTGAGAGCATGTTTTTAGGGGCCTGGAGGAGCCAGGAGAAACCACTTTTTTTAGCTCTATCCCACCCCAAATCACTGTGAGAGCATGTTTTTAGGGGCTTCACAAGTGAAGCTATTTTACTTTACCCCGTTTAATAGAAAACGACTCCAAATGGCTCCTGAAGCCGGTGGAGGAGCCCTGCCAAACAGGGCATAAATATGATGTTTCGTGACTTCCTTTAATGAACCACAAAAAAATGTAATTCTAATCTCTCTAATTAAATTCAACAAGAAGTTGATGACATGCTAAGGACTAGTCTATCCGCTGACGATCGTGACAGGATTGCACTGGTACATGCGTACAACTTGAGGCATATTTTTTAGACTAGATTAAAAAATAAAATGCTCAACATTTCAATTTATGGTTTGAATAGTTGGACCATTGGCTGATCGAGGTACCGAAAGGATCTTAAGCTTAGAGGGGTTAGAGGGGGTGTAAAAAAATTCTACATAAAACTCAAAGTCACTTGTCAGCAACTGTCGGAAGTTCCGACAATTTGGATCGGCACTCCCGTCGTCGTTAGAAGTTCCGGCACAAACTGTCAGAAGTCACGATGCCTACGGGAAATGTACTACAAGTGCTAAAATAAACTTTGTGACTTCAATAACTTACAACCCCACTTCCTAGTTGCAAGGTAACGCATTAGGGTTGCTCCTTTGACGCCGAAATGTTACCACTCCATAGATCGAGTCCAAACCCTAAAAAATCTTTGGGGAGGAAGAGACACACAAGAACAAAAGTGATAGCATAAGTCTCAACAACAACAAGCACGTAGGACACAAGGATTTATCCCGAGGTTCGGCAACCCCACAAAAGAGCTCCTACGTCCTCGTTGTTGAGATGACCACAAAGGTCGGAGTCTCTTTCACCTATTTGCCTCTCTCAAAGCAACCACAAAGGTCACTCAAGGTTTCCACTAAGAAATCGAGGGTAATACAAATTTTCCAAGTCTCTTCCACAAGATGAAAGATCATGGGCGACGCCTAGCCGGCTAGGGGCAAAACCCCAAGAGTAATAGACGCAAATCCAACCGGCTTGACGAAGAAATCGAGTGCTCAAGCTTGCCAAAGTGATGCTCTCACTCAATCCACTCTTCTTTTACTCAAAACCTTAGGGGAATCAAAGATTGAAGCAAAGGGAAAAGAAGAGGGGAGTCTTGAATGCTTGGGAGCTGTTGTGGACGAAGGTTGGTAAGCAGTGAATCAGTGAGACACGGTTAGAAAAGAGGAGAGGGCTATTTATACTCAAAGTAGAAATCTAACCGTTCAGATCTACGTCGGGACTTCCGACGCAGATCACGGGACTTCCGACCTTTGAAGAAAACACTATTCATATAAGGTCAAAGTCATTACGAACACGTCAACGTCGGAACTTCTGACGCTCGTGGTCTGCAGGGCAGCCAGTTGTCTAGGTGTCGGGACTCCTAACTTGGGTCATGACTTCCAACTGTCGGGAGTTCCGACTTACATCGAGACTTTCGACACCAAAAGTCACCGAAAACTATTCTACGTGCTTGTGAAGTGCTAGAGTGTCTCTCTTTTGATTTTATTTTTATACTTGAGCACTATATCTTCCTCAGACCAACTAAGTTTGCACCCCCCTCTTTATAGTACGGCATACCTAAACTCAAAAGCATAAAATATAAACTTGAAGATCCGCTTTGAGTTCGACGCCTTTTACCACTTCAAGAATTGAGGGATATCATTTCATCTTTATCAACTCTTTGAATCTTTTATGGGGCTAATAGCTGCGACATATTTCATTAAAATCACATTAGTCCCTAATTTGGATGTCATCAATACACCAAAACTCATACAGGGGGCAAATGCACTTTTAGGTACTAATGAAAATAAGTTGTTCTAGCTAAAACTAATCAACAATTTGGTGGTAGGAATCTTTGTTTTCTAAGA